GAAAGTTTATGCCCAAATAAATCTGTTAGTCTTTAAGGTGCCACCAGACTCCTTGTTGTTCTTACAGAGAAGTTACTATTTCCCAACACAACTTCACTATCATTGGAGATTTACCTCACTGTAACTGGAATTACAACCTGCACATTGCAGAGCAATGAAACAGACCAGGGCTTTCATTCAATCCCAGTGAATTTACTCCATTTAGACTGAGCCAGCTTCAGTTTCCATTGAACTCTGTGGTAAACCCCATTGGTCTCCAATGAGCAAATGAAATATTGGTTAAAGAAGAGACTATCATACTGCAGGAAACTTTTAAGTGCATCCATTTTATAACAGACATCCAGCCAATTATTCAAGATATTGGTGTTTAGAGATTGAATCTTCCCTCTCCAGAACATCATCTCTTCCTGCTTGTAATGTTAACTATTGAGGCAGGCAGGGCCGGCTCCAGGCACCAGGCACCCAAGCTGGTGCTTGGGGCGGCACCTGGAGGGGGGCGGCGGCGCAGCGCTTCGGCCCCCGGGGAGAGCGGGGCCCCAGCAGGGCTCGCCGCCCTCCCCCCGGCTGCCGGGGGGAGAGCGGCGAGCCCCTGCCGGGGCTCGCCGCCCTGCGCTCTGGCCGCCGGGGGGGAGAGCCGAGCCGAGCCCCAGCCGGGGAGAGCCGCCCTCCCCCCAGGGCTCCGGGCGCCCTCCCCCCCGGCGCTCTGGCCGCCGGGGGGGGGAGAGCTGAGCCCCAGCCGGGGCTCGCCGCCCTGCCCCCGGCGCTCTGGCCGCCGGGGGGTGGGGGAGGAGAGCCGAGCCCCCGCCGGGGCTCGCCGCCCTCCTCCCAGGGCTCCGGCCGCCCTCCCCCACGGCGCCCTGCCCCCGGCCGCCGGGGGAAGAGCGGAGCCCCCGCCGGGGCTCGCTGCCCTCCCGCCGGGGCTCCGGCCGCCCCCCCCCCCGCGGGGGGGGGGGGGGGGGGCCGGGGGCCTTTTCGCCTGGGGCGGCGAAAAAGCCAGAGCCGGCCCTGGAGGCAGGTATGAACTGCAGTCCAATATCATGGTGACTAACATGATATAAACACATGGACAGAGTGGGAAGCTCTTTATTTAAAATGAACGTGTCACAATTTTGGCAAAACTCATTGGAGGCTACAAATGGGACCATGCTGCTTCTCCATATGGGGCCTGATCCAGTGACCCAGGAAGACAATGTGATCTTTCCACTGACTTCAGTGGGCTTTGGATTGAGCCCAAGTGAACAACATTAGGTCAGGTGTTTCTTTCGGTGATATGCTTGAGGAGGCTCTTGCGAATGGAGGAGGAGAAGTGTCCCTGAAGTCCCCTTGCTGAAAATGAAAAGTGTGTTGATTGCTTTGCCTCTGATGGAGTTCGCCCCTTTTCTGGATACTCCAAGATACTCCCCTTGGCCAGAGATAACATATCCCTGGGTCTTGTCAAACATACTTCTGATGAGTATGACATCATATGGTTTAAAGGTACTGAAAGGGAGTGTGACCAAAGACAAACAGGGATTTTACATGTACTGCCTCCGCCGTGGACAGTGTCCAAGTCTCTGGCAGTAAGTTCAGGAGGAGGGTGTGATGTTGCACCCCATAAGGCTTTATGGAAATATGCTTATGAATGTATATATGACATAACTGGAATATGTTTTATGCTACATAAGCTATGTAACATATCTATGCAAAGGTTATGATCTATTGAATCTATTCATCCTATTTGTATGTATGTGTCATTTTTGTGTTTGAAGTTATGAATATTGTCTGTGTACTTGCTTGATTTCTAAGTAGCCTTAGTAAAGCATTTGGTCAGCTTCTTGAGAAAAGAATGAAGTAGTCTTGGCACATCAGTTGGCAACCCCAAGGGGGTTTCTGTGATCCAACCCGTCACACACTAACCATTGCTATTCACACAGGTACAATTTCACCAGTTCAGCTATCCATGGTTCAGGTCAATAATGTAAGTGCAGCTTTGGCTGGCAATGCACCATGATGCAATTAAATGCTTCTGGCAAGGATAGGCAAAACTACAGCATGGGAAGTGAAAGCAGCAGCACTGGCATCTAGTGGTGAACCGAACATTTTTACAGGCTAAACACACCAGCTAAGTATTCAGATACAATAGCGCTCTTTCCATTTTTTCTATTTCTTTGAAATTGCCAAATTGCTGTTATTTTTTAAAATTATATATGTTTATATATAAAATGTTTAAAATGAGGCAGAACATTATAAAAAACTTAACCAAGGCTTGGCTACTTTAGAGACCATCTCTGTCTTCATGTGATAACCACAGCAGCTGTAATCCGCTCACATCCCACCCTAAAAGCATCACTCCCACTGGTTGAAATGCAAAGAGGCTGGTGGCAGGTCATTTTAAATTAAGGTCCTCAACTCAGGGGGGACCTTAGTTGGAGCATCTTGGCCCAACATAGCATGGGCATAGTCTCCTCCAGAGCATGCTGCAAGGCCGTGTGTTTCCCCAGGGGCACTGGGATGAACTGGGTCTGAGTAGCTTTAGGGAGGAGTATTATTTGTGGTGAGTTTGAGGGTTTTTGTGGATATCAGTCTAATTCAATTTTTGGAATCTTTTGATAGACACTTTTAATTAAATTAGAAACAAGTGAATAATAAATTATATGCTGCTGTTTTTTAAAACCCCAACAGATCTGGAGTCGTCTACCGTGCTTGAAAGCAGTTGTGCTATACAATGACTCTTTGCCAGAGAGACATCCCAATTTATATACGGTATGTGAATTTTAGAGCAGTGTAACAATTCATTCATTTGATGTAGTTCACCTTCTTTTCTGTCTGTGGAATGTCTGCCAGAGGATCACAATGTTTTCATATGTGTTTGCTCTTCAAAATACTTCAGTGTAATTTTTCATTAATTTCATTGACTCTGCAGCTTGTTTGATAGTTGATATTCAAAATTAGAGCTGCATTGGTTGACTGGCTTGGTCATGTGTTATTGTTTCAGTTACTAGATCGGATTAACATAATATTTACCAGACTTCTGGTGAGACTATACTTGCAGATCTTTTATTGTTGTTGTTTTGTTAATACATTGTCTGCCCAGCTCTACTGAATTGTGGTCAGTTATGCTGGATCTGGGAACTAGAAAATGCTTGTGCTCTCATAATCCATTGTCAATATTTTGTTGTCCTATGGAACCTCCTATTCTGCTAATCTTTGTATTTGTAGCAAATATTTCTATCCACAAGCAACTGTTGAATACAAGCAACTATTACATATGCAAAGAATAAAACACTTGTTCTAGTGTATTCAGGGTCTTCCTTAGCCCATGCAGTACTTAGACAGCAAGATTAGGGACAAGATTAAGGTTCAGACTCACTGTCAGCTAAAGGCCCAAAATGTAGGTTTAAAAATAGGGTTTTACAAAACCTAATATGTGTAGAAGAATTTTCATTATTTATTTTTTAAATGTCACTGAAGACAATTTTCTAATGTGAACATTGAAATCCGCATGGTGCTTGGAACTGACTGTGAATTAACAATGGAAATCCCCTGCTTAGTTTTGTTGCCCATGCTGAATGAATTGCAAAAAGAATACACAGCATTTAGTAGAGAGTGACTAGTAGACAAATCTCCTAAAGCTTCAGATATCAAAATGGAAATTATTTTACTAGTAACAGAAGTGAGGAGAAAACGTTTAACATATTTATGCCGACATTGTTCCTTCTCTCTGTATTGATTTTCATAGTATAAAACACTTAACTATACAAAGGCACATAGATATCAAGAGTGTGCTATACAAAATGCAGTGCAATAATAAGAAAAATTAATTTGCAGTGTAAAGAAGAGCTTATTTAATCATATACATTAGTTATTAAATAACAGTAAACAGAGATTAACTCACACTGAGTTCCAAGTGTCTGAGAACTTTGAAAGAGATAAATGACATGAAGTTTATATTTTCTAATAGTGGAGAACAAAATGTAACTGAAAATGCTACTGATCTAGTGACAGATCTGCCACTTTTTTTCAGTGAGAGGATAATTGTTACATCAGTTGTGATGATAAGAATTGGCAGTTGCCATGTTTGTATTCCATACAGAGACACCCAGAGATCGAATCACCAATGGTAGAGATAGTTGTTTATTAGCTTTGATACAAACCCAGTCACATAAAACACAGGATGATAGGAAAACATTTTTGTGTAATATATTGACAGTTGAGATAATTGTACAGTAATGAGCAGTTGCTGCAGCTACGGCAGACTTTACCCTTCAGTCTCTGTGGAATGGAAACACTATCCTAGTGCAGGTGCTGTTCAAGTAAACAAAGCCTAGGCAACAGGCGTACAGAGATTAATGCCTTGTGGGATGAAAGAGAGGAAGGTCAAGAATACAAAGCATGAAGAGTCAAGTCATATAGGAATAAATCCTGACCCTGCACCATTGCCAGTTGCCAGTGGAATTGATACAGTCCACTATGTGGGGAGGAGCAGGATGTGAGGAAACCATGAAGGGGTCCACATCCTCTATATGCATGAAAGTGTGCTCTGTGGTGGGCTCCTGCATGCTTTTACAGGTGGGGGGTTGGAGGAGGGATGGGGCACGAGTGGTGTGTCAGTGATTAAAAAGGAATCCCAAGACAGACTCTCCCATGGAGGGGCAGTTTCTCTGCCATGAAGAATACTGCAGGTTAAATGCTGAGGTAGTGATCCCAGAGAGCATCCTGAGGGGAAGGATCCATTCTTCTCAACTATGTATACTCTCCCTTGCCACCACCACCCTAAAGCCCAGTTGCTGATTACAGGCTTGGTGCAGTGTCCAAGATTTGCCCCTAAGACAGTAGTGGGGAGATTCCTTGCCAGGTATAGAACTGGGGTGCTGCCCTCAGTCACTGCTCATGTACAGCTGTGTAAACATTATATGAATAATCCAGTCTCAGTGGGAAAACAACCCTTTTTGGTTCTCTTTCCCACATGCTGTGATTACCCCACTCCATCACCTATTAACATTGAAATAATGGGATCTTAATGTGTACATGTTACATTCAGACCCATATAAATGCATTCTACCTAGACATATCTGATAGTAATCAATAGAACATATTGGCCCAGATTCTCCATTCTGCTAAGGCAATTTTGGGTTGCACAAAGGGACCATATGCTTGCGGCATAAGTTAGACTAGAACCCCTCATGCTCTCCCTTGTTCAGGGACTGGACAGCCCTGAATCAGAGAGCTTCAGCCAGCTTCCTGCATCTACATCTTCCCTAGGTAGTGGAGAACTAAGGCCATTGTTCACACATTTAAATAATAAGAATACTTGGCTTTTACGTAGAGCCCTTCATTCTAGAATCTCAAAGTGCTTTGCATATAGAATAGACCAGAAATAATCTATTGGAAACCCAACAAAATTGGGCAGTTTACTTGGTGTTTTAATTGTAAGCTGTGATACAATTTACTTTAATTATGAATCAAAACCATTTCTAACATGAGGTCTGAATCGCATTTTCAGCCCACGTGACTAGAAAAGTGAATAGGAATGTTATTCCCTAAGTAGTCACCAAAATAATTAATAAAACTTCACTGCCTTTGCACACTCCACTTCTAATAGCTGTATGTTAGTGGTGCTGATTCACAAACTTTTGGGATAACTAGTAGAGAAGGGACTGTGTGACATACAGATCAAAACTGTGGTCCTATATTGGGCTTAGACCCCTCAGACAGGCGAAATTCCAATTTACCTGAATGGGAGTTTTGCCTAAGAAAGGTCAGAAGAGCCAGGCCAATCTTAATTTTTCTGTTCTTTTTCCAGACTCTTAAAATGTTGCAATTTCCACACTTGCTATTAGCTGATTCCTTCAATTGTTTTTTCCCCATTTCATTTTGTAGATGGAAGAATTTATGGAGTTGGGAAATGAGATACCAGATGCTACACTCAATGACATCATTAGCTCTCAAAAGCCAAATCAATGTTGTGTGCTAGTGTACACTTCTGGAACAACCGGGAAGCCAAAAGGAGCCATGCTGAGTCATGACAATGTATGTACTCTAGACACAGCTTTATGATAAAGTTTCTCAAAGCAGGAGGGTGTTTATTTCTGTGCTTTAGAAAGAAATGGGATCATGGTGGAGTCTACCAACAATGGTGGCATTCTGTTTTAAGGACGGAATAGCAAAAGAAACTATATCCAAACTATATATTTCTGAAAAACTACAAGCTCTTCTCATAGCTGAATTTATAAATGACATTTTTTGGTTCATGCAGTTGATTGTGTGATAAAATGCTATTACCACAAATATCTTCAAATGACCTCTCAAGATCATCTTCAAAAGAATCATACACCTTAGCTAGCCAATGTCACAGCAGCCTGATATTAGAAGCTTTTGCAAGGTTTTATTAAACTTGGCCCTTTATCTGTAACATTATTACCTTTCCAAGTTACATTTGTTTTAGTTCCTCCTAATTTAGTAAAGAATAGCAAAAGTTTTGTATATTCTACAGCCCTCTTATTCACAAAATCTGTGTCTATGTTGCTGCAAACAGCCAACTCTCTAGTGCCAAAGAGAGGCAAAAAGTCAAGTGAAAAAAAGACTTTACACAAAAGTCTGCTCACCAAGGGCTAGAATGTGGTTGGCCCTTACATGGCTATGCAGTGTGGGAAAGGATTAAGGAACTTGCGTGAACACTTGCGTAGCCCATAAAAGGGCTGGCTGGAATTGCAACTTCTGCTCTTGATGGAGCGCAGGAACTGATACTGAGAGCAGTTCACCCTAAAGTAGGGAGTAGGCAGAGCAATATCTGGAAGTAGGATACGCTGGACATGATGGACCAAAGCTCTGATCTGGCATGGCAAATCCTGTGTTCTTCTGTCTCAAAGGAATCTGGTATAGTTTCTATTTTGCTGTCAAACTATTTCTGGCTACTGTGCACAAGCAGGCTATTTTTATGCTGATCAACACAGTGGAAAACATCCTGTGCCTGTAACTGTGCTGCTGCCTTCTTTAGTCAAAAGAAATTTCCCTCTGCCCTTATTCTAAACCTGTGCTGGGTCAGACATTCATCCCCTTCATCCCCACCCTGATCTGACGTGTGAACATAATTGTGTGTTGAGGGATTTTTGGATGCTAAGCAGATAATGCAGCTACATATCTAGAAAATATCTTGTCAAGCCTCTTTGTACTCTTCTTCCACAAGCACTTGCCCAATATTGCCTTCTGCATCTAGGGCAGCCTCCCTGAACCTATACACCATGGCTAGTATTCCTAATGATAAATACCATTGGTGATACTGAATGACTTTGTGTAGGTAAATTACCCTGTCATGTGAACTCATTGTTCTATAGTATTTATTGCTGTTTTGTTTCAAATTGCATCCTAGAAATGCTTTTCTGATGAAAGGTGACAGACTGAGCTTCCTGGACACTGGAGTCCTCTTTACCCATAGCAGGGCAACACACAGGCGCCAACTTTTCAAAGTATTGGGGCGTGTTGGACCCCCAGCTCTGCCCCAGGCCCTATCCCCACTCCACCCCTTCCCACAAGGCCCCACCCCATCCCGCCTTTTCCCACCCCTGCTCCACCCCCGCCTCTTCCCGCCTAGTTCTGCCCCCTCCCTTGAGCGTGCCGCATCCTCGCTCCTTTCCCCCAGCCTCCTGCATGCTGCAAAACAGCTGATTGCGTTAGGTGGGAGGTGTAGAGAGGGAGTGGGAGGCGCTGATCCGTGGGGCCTGCCAGTGGGCGGGAGGCGCTGGGGGGATTGGGGGAAGCTGATATGGGGGCTGCCGGTGAGTGCTCAGCAGCCACCATTTTTCCCCGTGGGTGCTCCAGCCCTGGGGAAACTGGAGAAAGTTCAGAGGAGAATAACAAAAATGATTAAAGGTCTAGAAAACCTGACCTACGAGGGAAGATTGAAAAAATTGGGTTTGTTTAGTCTGGAAAAGAGAAGACAGAGGGGAGACATAACAGTCTTCAAGTACATCAAAGATTGTTATAAAGAGAAGGGTGATAAATTGTTCTTAACCACTGAGGACAGAACAAAAAGTAATGTGCTTAAATTGCAGCAAGGGAGATTTAGATTAAATATTAAGAAAAACTTCCTAATCATCAGGATAGTTAAGCACAGGAACAAATTACCTATGGAGGTTGTAGAATCTCTGTCATTGGAGGTTTTTAAAAACAGGTTAGACAGACACCTGTCAGGGATGGTCTAGCTAATATTTAGTCCTGCCTCAGTGCAGGGGACTGGACTATATGACCTATAAAGGTCCCTTCCAGTCCTATATTTCTATGATTCTATGAAGGTGTAGTTGGGTTCCCTTGTCTGTTCAGTCCATGGGCCCTCTGGTGAGGTTAATCGTATCAGCAATACCAATTGTGTATGTAAGGCAGGAATTGTAGTGCTCACAGTGCAGCAGGGGGAAAAACAGACTGCCACCATTTCATTATATTCCTTGCAGTTCATTTGCTCTAAATAAGCCTTATAGATGAGTGACAATCTACATGTTATTAAAGGTAGTGATATATCTAAACAGATGACATGCATCTGACGAAGTGAGTATTCACCCATGAAAGCTTATGCTACAAAATGTCTGTTAGTCTATAAGGTGCCACAGGACTCTTTGTCGCTTCTAACAATACATGTGTATTATACAGACAGATTCAGAGTTTATTAATATAACAGGACTGGCTGCTTAAATTGTATTAAAATAAAACAAAAATAATATTTAACATCTTGTTATTTATGTGAACAGATAACCTGGACAGCAGCACATGCCAGCAGAGCAGGGGATATGCAACCGGCAGAAATCCAACAGGAGATTATAGTCAGTTACCTCCCGCTCAGCCACATAGCTGCTCAGATATATGACCTCTGGACTGGAATCAAGTGGGGAGAGCAAATTTACTTTGCTGAGCCAGATGCTTTAAAGGTACCTGTAGTACTTTACATTTAAGTTAATTTTTTCACCAGCAGAAGCACTAAGTAGAGTATTTGGTTTTAAGGAGATGCAGAAGATAATTGCAAGTTTTGTGTAACCATTCTGGAAAAGTGAATTCAATGGGAGATCTAGGCCAATACTCCAGTGCCCTAAGGCCCCATTTTACCCTAACCCTGAGCCATGACTAGAACTCTGGTCCGTCAGCTCCAAAATCACAGGCCTCTATCACTTTATAATATAATATATGGAGATATACTTATCTCATAGAGCTGGAAGGGACCCTGAAAGGTCATTGAGTCCAGCCCCCTGCCTTCACTAGCAGGACCAAGTACTGATTTTGCCCCAGTTCCCTAGGTGGCCCCCTCAAGGATGGCATTCACGACCCTGGGTTTAGCAGGCCAATGCTCAAACCACTGAGCTACTGCTATCCCTCCCCCCACCCCCTTTAGCTAAAGAAGAGTTCCTGTAACTGATAGTAATAGTGGGTCTCTCACCCTCTCTGTACACAAAGTTAGTTCATTACATTATAAAATTAAAAAATAATATGGCCAGAACCTGAGCTCTTTTTAAGGCACCAGCTTGAGGATTCCCCTGGCACAGGAGGGAGTGTAAGCGGTGTTTCAGGTAGGCAGGATCAGGAGGGACAGAAAGGAGAAGTAAAGCCAACTGTGCGCACCCCCTCACACACCCAGCACACACACACAGTTGTGTCAAGCACTGGTCTAGCTCACCTGGGGATCTAGCTGAAATAATAGGCTCTGACTTCAATGATATTATACGTATAAGTGCTGCAAGACTTAGTCCATTAGGAAGAAAAAAACCTCCATAACACTAATCCTGACCTTTGCAATATATTCTCTTATTTTAACAGGGCAGCTTGGTCAATACACTGAAAGAAGCACAGCCAACATCTCATATGGGAGTTCCACGAGTATGGGAGAAAATCATGGAGAAATTAAAGGACACGTCTGCTCAGTCAGGATTTATGAAAAAGAAAATGTTATCATGGGCCATGTCCATTAGCTTAGAGAGGAACCTAAGCTGCTCAGGAAGGTATAATTACAGTAACTCCTCACTTAACGTTGTAGTTATGTTCCTGAAAAATGTGACTTTAAGCGAAACCATGTTAAGCGAATCCAATTTCCCCATAAGAATTAATGTAAATGGGGGGTTAGGTTCCAGGGAATTTTTTTTCACCACACACACACACACACACACACACACACACACACACAGAGTATAAGTTTTAAACAAACAATTTAATACTGGTACACAGTGATGATGATTGTGAAGCTTGGTTGAGGTGGAGGAGTCAGAGGGTGGGATATTTCCCTTACTGCTAAATGATGAACTAGCAATTGGCTGAGCCCTCAAGGGTTAACTCTCTACACAAGGCAGCAGGAATGGAGGGAGAGATGCACATTTCCCTTAAGTACACTGCCTTGTTAATTAGATCAGCTTGCTGAGACGCAGCTGCTGCAAGTTCCCTCTGTCCTGAGTCTTGGTCTGTCCCCCCTGCTCTATGGAAGATGAGGTAAGCGGGGTGCAGGAGCAGGGGGGAGGGGGACACCCTGACATTAACCCCCCTCTTCCTCCCCCCCCCCCGCACAGTAAGCAGGAGTCTCAGGGAGCAGCTCCAAGGCAGAGGGCAGGAGCAGCACATAGCAGTGGCGGGAGGGACACAGCTGAATTGCAGGCAGCTGCTGCACAGGGAACTTAGGGGAGCGGGGAGCTGATAGGGGGAGCTGATAGGGGGCTGCCAGTCCACCCTGATTCCAAGCCCCCACCAGCAAGCTGCAACGGGCTGCTCTTCCTGCAAGCAGTAGACAAAGCAGGTGGCTGCCAAACGTTAGAAGGGAGCATTACACAACTTTAAATGAGCATGTTCCCTAATTGATCAGCAACGTAACAAGGAAACAACGTTAACTGGGATGACTTTAAGTGAGGCGTTACTGTAGTAACAAATACTACTTTAGCTATGCCCCTTATCTGCCCTCAATTATCCCTGAGTAGCCCCATTGACTTTAGGGGGGTTGCCTTTCTGTTCTCACTAGCATAGATATTTTGCTTGGTAATTTGCATTCAGCACTGTAGTTTTATATTTTGGTACAAATCAGTGGGGAGAAAAGTTGCTCAATAGCATCTCGTAAAACTGATCTTGGATTCAGTGTCTGCTGGGGTATCTAGTTTTGACTGGATTTTTAAAGATAGGTTTTGTGTCTGGCACAAACTATCCCATGTCTTGCATCCAAGGTTCTGCTCTAGGCTTTACTATAGTTTTCCACTGGAGATTTTCTCCACCTTTGTTGCACGTTTCAGGCTTTGGCATCCATTCCCAGTGTATCAATGCATTTTTCTCTGATTTTCCAAGGTCATAAAACTCATTGCCAGGTGATGTTTTGAAGGCCAAAACTATAATGCAGTTAAAAAAAAATTAGATAAGTTCATGGAGGATAAGTCCATCAATGGTCATTGGCCAAAATGGTCAGGGATGCAACACTATGCTCTGGGTGTCCCTAGCCTTTGTTTGCCAGAAGCTGGGAGTGGATGACAGGCGATGAATCACTTGATGATTGCCTGTTCTGTTCATTGCCTCTGGAAGACAGGATACTGGGCTTGATGGAATCATAGACTCATAGAAGATTAGGGTCGGAAGAGACCTCAGGAGGTCATCTAGTCCAACCCCCTGCTCAAAGCAGGACCAACTCCAATTAAATTATCCCAGCCAGGGCTTTGTCAAGCC